CAAAAAAAAAAAAAAAAAAAGATCCTCCCTGGTAAGACACCTCGTGGGCTACACAGATTAAAAATGGGTTAGATTAATATGTAAGAGCTAGCCAATAAGAGGCTACAGATAACGGGCCAGGCAGTGTTTAAAAGAATACAGTTTCCATGTAATTATTTCGGGGCATAAGCTAGCAGGCTGCCGGGTGCTGGGGATGCAGCCCCGCCGCACTTATTACTACAGGTAGCGCTGGCTGGTCTGGAACTATGTAGACCAGGCTAGCCTCCACTTGATAGAGATCCACCCCTTGAGTGGCTGGAATTAAAGGTGTGTCCTGCCATGTCCAGCAACTTTTTAAAGGTTTATTTATCTTTATTTATGTGTATATATGTGTGTCTGTAGAAAGGTACGTGTGCCACAGATGTGCAGGAGGAACTGAACCACAGGCCATTGTGAACTACCTGATGTAGGTGCAATAACTACTCTTAACTGCTGAACCAGACATTTTTTAAAAAATAAACACTTAGTCCAGTTAGTGTACCCTGCAAGTGTGTGGGTGTGGGGGCCTACACTGGAGCACGGGCAACTAACAGTAGCCACACCCTTGAAGAAAAATGATAGTCTTCCAGCAGCGGTCAGTTGTCTCTAGTTCCTCAGCTGGATGGAGAGTTTGTGACCGACCACTCCCCTCCTCCACGTACCCAAGCTGGAATGCTGATCAGCTTGCTCCTGTGCAGGCAACCATGGCCACTGTTAGTTCCAAGAGCAGCGAGCAGCGTTTCACAGCACCTCTTTCCATCTTTCAGCTCCCACATCCCCTCTGCCTTCACCCACTGAGCCATTACTGCCCTCACTGGCTCTTCCTGTTTGTTATTTGTTCTTCTTCCCTTAAACCTATGACATAATCGTGTTGTGTTCTGAAGGTGCATTCTGTCATGTAGTGCTAGTGGGGGTTGGCATTCGAGGGGACGACCTCTTAACTATTAAAGGTGGCAAAACGGTGGTATTCTACCATACCTTGTTTATATAGAATACTCCTGTAAAGAGAAAATTTTCAGCTGGGTGGTGGTGGTGGTGCATATCTTTAATTGTATCTCTGTGAATTCAAGGACAGCCTGGTTTACACAGCAAGTTCCAGGACACCAAGGCTGAGAAACCCTGTCTCAAAAAACCCACCCCCCTTCAAAAAAAAGAAAGAAAAAAAGAAAGAAAGAAGAAAAAGAAAATTTTTTTACAGTAGCATTGGTTTATTCAGTTGGTACAAATCTTTTTTTTTTTTTAATAAAAAAAGACCCATGTGTATTGGTCTTTTGTGTGCATGTATGTCTGTACACTTTATGTGTGCATTGTGTCATGGAGGCCAGAAGAGGAGATTACATTCAATGAGACTGGAGTTACAGATGTTTGTAAGATGCCATGTAGGTACTGGGAATTAAATCCAACTCCTCTGGAAGAGCAACCAGTGCTCTTTTACTGCTGAGTTGTCTCTCCAGTGTGGTGGTACAGTTCTTTACAGAAATTAACACCGGAGCTAGCGAGATGGCTCAGAGGTTAAGAGCACTGGCTGCTTTTCCAGAGGTTCTGAGTTCAGTTCTTGACAGCCACGTGAGGGTTTACAACCGTCTGTAGTGAGATCTGGTGTCCTCTTCTGGCAGGCAGGGATACGTACAGACAGAACACTGTAAACATAATAAATAAATAATTTTTTTTAAAGGAAAGGAAAGATGCCAGGTGGTGGTGCACGTCTTTAATTCCAGTGCTCGGAAGGCAGAAACAGTCAGATCTCTGTGAGTTCAAGACCAGCCTGGTCTACAGAGTGAGTCAGGACAGCCAGGACTGTTACACCCTGTCTCGAAATCCCCCCTCAAAAAAAAAAAAAAAAAAAAAAAAAAAAAAAAGAAGGCCGACAATTTAACACTCCTTAATTTTGTTTTCATAGTTTAGAACCACAGACTTTGTTTTGGGGGGATGGTTGAGGGAGTCTCATGTATCACAGCCTGGTGTTAAACTCACTACATAGCCAAGGAACTTGAATTTATGAGCCTCTTGCTTTGATCAGTGAAGTGCTGGGCTGGAATTACAGGCAAGCACCATCACATTGGAGTTCTGTTTGGTCTTGTCCTTTTTTTTCTTTTTTTCTTTTCTTATTTACTGAAATTCTATGTGTCCAGGTGTTTCACCTCACGTCTGCCGGTCTGTGCATCACTTGCATGTCCTGCACCTGGAGGAGGTCTGAAGAGAGTGTTTGGTTCTGGATTTGGAATTACAAAAGGATGTGAACTACTATTTGTGTACTAGGAATCGAACCCATGTCCTTTGGAAGACCAGCCAGTGCTATGCACTTATTCTTCTAGCCCTGTTCCTGTTTTTTTTTTTTTTTTTTTTTTTTTTTAGACTAGAGTTTATTCTGCTATGTCTCTGAGGCTGGACTTGAACAGCTGATCTTCCTGCTACTGTTTCCTTAGAGCTGAGATTACAAGGGTGCCACCATGCTGTTTTAGACCATGGTAAGGACCGCATCTAGGGCTTGGTGTATGCTAGACAAGCACTTTAAGCAACTGAGATGTCTACGTACCCTAGCACTGCAGGCTTCCCTTTTCTTAAGATGTCAAACGTTTATATAAACTGCTTTTTAATGCATAATGGATAAAATACTTCTTTTCCAACAGAAACTGGGTGTGGGGATATAATGGATAGCACAGAGCTCGTGGTGCCATGAGATTTGCTCACTGGGATCAAAGGATGCTTCTCATTCCTTCACTTTCTCCTCCCCTACTCCCAATCCTTGAAAACAAAATCCAACGTGTGAGGTTCTCCTGTGTGAAACATCAAGGAGGGGCAGCAGTCCATCAGAGAAGATCTCAGAACCTTGAAAAGTTTTATCTCCTTTTTTCTTATTTGGAAACAGCAGTGTGTAACTGCATTTTCCCACTGCGCACGGCAACCCCCCACCGCCCCTCCCCCAAGTTCAAGCCACATTTTCTGTTTACGTTTGGAACAATGGGAATTTCTGAGATTACACATTTGATTTTTTAAAATCATATCGTCCGTTGCATTTGCTGTCATTTATTTAATTTTACATGTCTTTCGTTGCGTATATTGTAAAAGGATAGAGTTTGCTTGTGTGGCCCCTCCCTCCCAGCAAAAACATTGACAAGGCCACCAGTCACCTATGAGAGTAACTTTTTCTTGGCACAGCACACACAAGCCGTGTGTTGTTTAAAGATCTTCACTGATGTATGTGGAGGAGCCTGAAAGGTTTTCTTACTCGAGTTTTCATTTGTGTTTCTATGATTACTCTTAAGATTGAATGGCCATCGGTATTTGCTAACAAGGTTTAAAGCTATTTGCTCGGGCGTGGCTTATACCGGGGAAGGGTCCTGCCAATGCCACTAAGAGACAAAACAAATGATGAAACCCAGAAATATCTCGTTTTTAGACTTCATCTCTGACTCCGCCCCCCACCCCCACCTCGGTGAGCCCTTTGTGTGTGCCAACGATCCGCAGATGGGATCTCTGTCTGCAGGACTGCAGACAGATGTACTGACACCAAAGACACGCATTGTGTACATATAATACTTCTGAATACAGTGCTTATGGGACAGAGTTCTGGAGTAGCGACCATTCCCCGGGTAGCCGCCCTGTCTGGGAGTCTCTACAGGCGTAGCCTTCCCGCTCGGTTTTCGACTGGCTGGTCTGAGGATCCGGGAGAAGCGGGCAAGCTCCGGGAGGTCGATGCGCTCTATTATCGGCTGCTTTTGCCTCCCCTCCCCCGCCCTCTTCTAGCGATAGCTATGGTTACCACGTCTCTCCCCGCCTCCCTTCACCTGCCAAGAAAGAGAGTGCTCATTGGTTCTCCGTCACTAAGGTGGCCAGCCATTGGTTGCTGGCGAGTCCGGCGCTCCCCCGGCCCCTGTCTCCCCGGTCTCTTGAGGAGCCCGGGAAGGAGCCTCGGCTCGCGTTGCCGGGACCGGGCTGCGGCAATCGTTAACGGGCCATGTCGGCTGCCCAGGGCTGGGACCGAAACCGCCGGCGGGGAGGAGGCGCGGCCGGCGGGGCCGGCGGGGCTAGCGGGGCCGGCGCGGCCGGCGGGGGTCGGGGCACCAGCCAGCTCAACCGATTCGTGCAGCTCTCCGGACGGCCGCACCTGCCAGGTGAGTTGGGGCGGCTGCCGGCGTGAAGGTGGCGGCCGCCGGGCTCTGCTCCTCGAACACACAGCCGAGGACAGGGAGGCAGAGCGCCGGGAAGGTGGCGTTGAGGTCAGGAGGTGGACCGGAGCACGCCCGAAGAAAAGTCTCTGCTGTGTGGACAGCTCGGTGATGAGAGTTGTGTTTTCCACTCGAAGGAGAGGCCACTGTCTCTTTGACATTCCCAAATGTTTTGCTTGCCCGATTCCTAATCTTTTCCCCTTCCGCAGTTTGATGTTGTGAAAGAAAGACATTGGTGTTTAGCTGTGGAAAATTATTTGGAAAAGAGTGCCAAATTAAGGAGAGGAGACAAGAGGAATGCTGGAGTGATTTTGTTTAAAATAAAATAAAAAAAAAAAGCCGCCTAACTGTGTAAGAGTCGGGTATTTTGAAAAGGAATGAGCGTGTGAAAGTGTGTGTGTGTGTGTGTGTGCGCGCGCGTGCTCGTGTGTATGTGTGTGTGTGTGTGTGTGTGCGCGCGCGCGCGTGTGTGTATGTGTGTGAATGTAAATGTTGACTGGGGAGTGTATGGGAAAGAAAACCAAAAAGATTGAGGGAAACGGTAGAATCATTAATATTTGGGGATGTTCAGAGACAGAATGGATAATGGTGTCTAGATTTCTGAAGGGGGAAATGAAGATCAAAAATATAAAGAAAAAATGGTGCTGTGACCCCGGTGTCAGAACTGGAAATTTGAAAAATATACCTATTGCTATAATTTCATGTTTTGGTCTTTGAATTCCCATGCCTTAAAAAGAAAAAGAAAAAGCCCAAAGTCAAAATGATATGTGTGCAAGCAGTTTTAAACCAATAAATGAAAATAAATGAATTTTCAGTTTGTTAAAAGGAAGGTAGAGAATTCAATCCTGCACAGGATGCCAATCATTCTATTGGGCAATGGTGTTTTCTTACCATGAAGAGAACTGTCAGGAATGATGTATTAGACCTTCGCCATGTTTTTTTGTGTTATGTGTGACTGGTGTGAAGTTGATTGTATCAGTGACATATTTGTTTAGATCAGTTCTGAGAACCTGATGGTTTTTGAATTGTGTTTACTACTGTGTTCTTTTAGGTAGTGAAAAATCAGTTGATTAATTTGAAGATAACAAAGGGAATTTTGCTTGCTCAATGAGATAATTACTAACATTTGTGATGTGGTTTTAACGTGTGCCAAAAATGTTCATGAATCTGTTTGTATGTGTCGCTAAAATAAAATTGAGACATTCGTCAATAGCCAAATATGCAATGAATTGGATTTGAAATGACATTATCAGACTGGGTATCCTGGAATTACTAAATATGTGCTTTTTAAAATGAAAAAAAAACCCGAGACATATTTTTTGTTATCTGCAGTTAACAGCAGAACCATAGATTTTCGTGTGTTGCTAGCCTAGAAGATAAATCCCTTGGCAAGCACTATTCCCAGTTTGCCCTCTGCCACTGAAATCTTTAAGTCTTTGGTCATGGATTAATTATTATACCATGAACTTCATGTGGGCATTCTCAGGGTTCTGTAACCTGTTTGTGTAGTTCCTCACTGCTACCACATGGGGGTGGTGGAAGCCATGGTTTCAAATAAGGGCTTGAAGTATGGCGCTATTTCTGCATTCCCTTAGCACACGAGGACAAGAGCAGCCATTTGTCCAGAGGTGAAGATAAAACGTGCTTAAACTGTGAAAATTGGAGAAGTGGAGTCATCAGTCTTCGTTCTCCTTCCTTTCTTCCAGGCCGGCACTCAGTTCCTCCTTCCTCCACAGGCATTCTCCATCTTTTCCTCGTTGTCAACACTGGAAAATTTCTGATCTCTCGATGATATATTTTGAAATTCTTTCATACTAATCTTTTGTTCTCCCAGGTATTACATATTAAATCTTTTAACTCTTATTTTGAAATAATCCAAAAGGTTTTAAGTGGTAGGGAGGAATAGGAATGTATAGGTCTGTTTTATGGCTGACCCTGCAGGGCTAGCTACTTTTCCCCATTTGATGTATTAATTTCCCATCTCTTTTGACCTCCACTAGCTTCCACACACTGGAAGAGCCTTTTCTTCCTTTTAGCGTCTCTGCCTTGTTCCCAGTCCCTCTGAAACAAAGCCGCATGACTTGGTACTCTTTTTAGAACACTTCCACCGTCTTTCAGGGATAGCATCTTTTGAAAACAATTTAAAGACAAGGTCTCACTATATATCCCAGCTATTCTGGAACTTCCTGTGTAGACCAGGGTGGCTTTGGACTCACAGAGATCCTCCAACCTCTACCTCCTATGTGCTGGCATTAAACGCATCCACTACTATGCCTGGCTTGGTGCTAGCATTTTTATCCATCTTAGGGGAACCTGAAATCAGGGTGATCTCCTTAAGCTCCCCACCAACTTCAGTTGTAATCAGCTACCCAGTCTTGTTTCTTTTGCTTCTGTGGTAACTAATTCTTGATGTCAGGTTTACTGCAGCAGCTTCCTGAGTAATCTTCCTCCTTCTGCTAGTACCTTCTATTCATATGGTGCTGGTCTTTCATCACCTCTGCTTATAGCCTTTTTCTAGTTCTTTGTCCAGGCTGGCCTTGAACTGTCCGTCCTCCTGCTTCAGCTTCTAGAGTAGCGGGATGCTGGCAAGTGCCACTGTACCCAGTCTTCTATTTCATTGTTTCGAGTAGGGTAAACATCCTGACCGTGTCCTAACCCTCCATTTTGTTCTCTTCCCTCTGCTCTTTTTCTCTCAGCATCGGAAGCCACTGTGTGTGTTCTTCTCTCCCGCAGTAGCCTCTTGTGCCTCAGTCTCTCAGTTAGTTTCTGTTTCATTGAATCTCAGTTGTATTTTTTCCCATAGAGGCCTTCTCTTACCTTCTTTCTGGACCCTCCTTAGGTATACAGTACATAGCACACCGTATGTATGTTTGTATACACACGTACACACTCACGCACACATATACATATACCACAATGTAATGTCTTAACATTTTTTTTTTTGCTTTTTTTCGAGACAGGGTTTCTCCGTAGCTTTTTGGTTCCTGTCCTGGAACTAGCTCTTATAGACCAGACTGGCCTCGAACTCACAGAGATCCGCCTCCCGAGTGCTGGGATTAAAGGCGTGCGCCACCACCACCCGGCTCTTAACATTTTTTAAATGAAATTCAACTTCTTTATTTTTAAGAGTTATTTATTTATTATGTATGCAATGTTCCTCCTACCTGTACACTTCCATGCCAGAAGAGGGCACCAGATCTCATTACAAATGTGGTTGCTGGGAATTGAACTTAGGACCTCTGGAAGAACAGCCAGTGTTCTTAACCTCTGAGCCATCTCTCCAGCCCCCAGTCTTAACATTTTTTAACTAAGAGCTGTAGAGAGAGCTTTGAGGTTAAGAGTATTGGTTGCTCTTTCAGAGATTCAGGGCTCAATTCCCAGCATCCACATAGTGACTTAAAACCAACCATCTTTAGCTACAGTTCTAGGGAATCTGATGTCCTCTGTGGTCTCCATAGGCACCAGGCGGCCTCCACAGACACCAGGCATACAAGTGTTACACAGACATACATGCAGGTAAAACACCTGTGCACATAAAATTAAAATATTTTTTAAATTATAAAATAAATTAATGCACTGAATTATGTGTAAGATATTAATGTGCAGTGGTTTGATGATTGTGGTTTAATCCTTCAGAGCCCCGTGGCTCCAGACAAACAGGTAATAATGAGTTCTTAGGGTATCAGACCTAGTGTCAGCATAGTGTTTTGTAATTTTGAATATTGTCTTTCTGCTATCTTTTTTATTCTTAAAATATTTAAGAGCAGAATTGCTTATTGTGTGTGTGCACTCACACACTTATGAGCATGCCACAATGTGCATTTGGAAGTCAGAGGACACTTTTAGGACTAGAACTCAGGTTGTCAGACTTGGCGGCAAGCTCATTTACCTTCTGTGCCATCTTGCTAACCCCTTTCTACTATTTTCTAAGATATAGCAGTGATGATGTGTTTACCCCACAGGCTAAGACATTCATAGGTTTTAATCTTTGATTTTTCAAGACAGGGTTTAGCCTGTCCTGGAACTAGCTCTGTAGACCAGGCTAGTCTTGAGCTCACAGAGATCCTGTCTGCCTTCCAAGTACTGGGATTAGTATTTATATACCTAGGGAAAAATAGGAAACGATGCTGCTATTTTGTAGATGAAGCATTTAGAGATACAGCAAGGGGACTGTGAAACAGAACACAAGTCAGTGTTATGTTTTAGCATGAATTTAATGAAGTGTCTCTGTTAGTAGAGAAAGCAGTCAAACAGCATTGCTAACGTGGGGACTGAGAGAGAAAGAAACACTTAACAGTTGCTAGTGCTGGGTCAAAAATAGTCCAGAAATCTTAATTTAAAGGTCTTAAATAAGAAATGTGGCTGGGTAGTGGTGCACACTTTTAATCCTACGATTTGGGAGGATTAAAATCCTACTTTTAATCCTCGAATCACAGGTCTGCTCTCTGATATAGCAAGTTCCGGGACAGGCAAACCTACACAGAGAAACCCTGTCTCAAACAGACAAACAAACAAACAGAAATATGTAAAATTCAAATAGTAGAAATGGCATATGATAGCCACACATGGTAGCACATGTCTGTGATCCCAGCCTCAGGAAGAAGAGGCAGGAAGTCCTGGTCTCCTCCACTACAGAGCTGCATTCGAGTTGGAGGCCATCTTAAGCAACATAAAACCTGTCTCAAAAGCAAGAAAGCCAAACAAAACAACATATATCAGAAGGCAAGTTTTCTATCTTTGACCCTGTCTATTGGCTTCTCTCCCTAGTAACAAACAATAATGCGTTTTCTCGGGGTGTGTACCGTTTGCCTGGTCTGGGTGTGTTGTATGCTTAGATATGCTAGATAGTGCAGTCTCCTACCGCAGCACACAGTGAGATTCCCTGTTGTATGAGGATATTTATCTTGCAGGTTAATTCCTAGGAGCACTGTTTAAACCTTGATAAA